TTTCTCTCATGGGTTCTTTTCATTTCAGATTTTTTTTCTTCTTAGAATTCGTTTACTGGCTTAGTCATAGTTTATTACAGAAAGATACATTTGTAGTTATATTAGGCATTTAAATATATGGGCGTTGTCTCAAAACAGTCATGAGACGCAATAGGGTGTTCTAAGAAATGGAAAAAATACTATACAGCGCAACTATGGGTGGCAGAAAAAAAAATGGTTTCATATAGCAGTAAGCATATTACATACTCAGGAGCAATTCGATATCTAGGAATATTTTCCGAATGTGATGTGTCACCAGTCATAAATTTAGTCCATCCAGTCGTAACCAGAACATTACCAGAAACTCAAAATCAACTTCTCTTTTTTTTAAAAATACGTTCTCTTTCATGAAATGAATCAAACATTTTTTTTAAAAATTAAAACTCAAATATAAATTGAAGGCATAATTTTTTCTTACGCAAACGTACTAGAAACGTAAAAGTGCTAAAAACGTAAAACGTAAAAGTGCGTGTTAAAAAGTTACGCGGCAAGGGTATCAGAGCGGTCGATATTAAAAATAATTCTTGAAACATACTATGATAGGTGACCAAAAATGATTTACAGTTAAAAAAATAAGTTAACGAAAAATGAAAAGTGATCAGAAATTTATTCTCACGCATTTTTAAAAATGGTTACAAAGTTCATCAACGGATTGTCCTTATAACTGAAAACTAAAGAGCAACGTTTTCAAACGAACCACTTACAAAAGAAAATAAATTGACGCCAAGAAAATTTTTCCATCTGAAACGCAACGAAAACTTTAATCTTCCTCGCATCAATTTTTCAGTCCAGTGATACTTATTTAGCCTTTTCTTAAATGAAAAAAAACTCTGTTCTTAACCTTTTATAGTATAGGTAACAAATTTTAAAAGAAATGAAAGCTTGCATTATAATTAAGACAACTACATCCAAAAGGAAAAGCCCTGAAAAAGAGAACGAGTCGTTCAAAGCCATTGAATTGTAAACTACCACCCGTTACATCTATACGTGTGGCATAGTATAGGAAAACTAAACTAAACAACTCGCTAACTTAAGTTTAATGTATCTAAGAAGGAGCAGGACAATCAGCACCAGTGACGGAAAAACTTAGTTGGAAGTTTATTCGACAGCAAATGGGTCTTCCCGAATGTTTTGTGAAGTTAAGTAATTAAAAACATGTCATGAAATGTGCCTTGATATTGTCCTTTGACCATTTTGTTCTTCTTCTAGTTTTAAATTTTTTCAACCCAATCCGCAACTGAACAGAAGATTCTTTCGAGTAACTTTTTCTAAATATTTCTTACCTGTTTCTCAAACTCTTCTATTTGTCCTTATAAAGTTAGTTCTTCGTTGTTAAACAGTTGAAGATTTTTTTTTTTTTTTTTTTTTTTTTAAATTGTTCCGCACATATATGCACCCGTAGCTACATGGATTAAAAACATTCTGACAAAATTACCATTCTCTATGATAATGACGTTTCTGGTAATTAAAAACCATAATTCATGTTAATAAAACCGAAATATACTGTACTTAATCATTCATTTGGCAATTTTTCTATTCATATGATAACGGTTTGCTGAAAATTTTTGTTTTCAAATTTATAGTTCTTATTACCACACAATAAATAAAAAATACAAAACTGAAAAGTAAATTAAACCGAATAAATGGTTTTTATGCCAGGCTCTAAATTACCAAATTTTACCACATTTGCTGTATTTTATCACGATGTATAAAACCATATTTTATAGTTAATTTTACCAAAATCATTACGAAAGCACTTCGGAAAAAATTGTTCAACTTTTTGGTGTTCCATTAAGGCCAGAAACACTATAAATTGTTTTATATACTGGTAGTTATGTTCATACTTTCTTTCCCATTGTACTTAATGTCTAATGTCAGAAAATAGAAATAGCTCCGTGCATGTAAAACTCCATATATAAATAAACTACTTAAAGGTGATGCCAATTGAGGATTCTGGTAGAAATATTTTTCTTATCGCATCAATATTAACACTAATAATAACAAGTTGGTCATTGTTATGCGTTGAAGTCTTTTTCTCTAATCACGAAAGTAAAGAGACTAAACACAGAGCGCACACCCTAAACAACTAACCATATAATTTTCTTCAAGGTGGAGTATTGGCTCACTGACCTTATTAGCATTTAACGGGGTTCAAATATGAAATTAACCTTGAATTGAACAGTTGATAATTTGAGTTTACAGCATCAATCGGTAGTTTCCAAATTGAGAATGCGTCGTTAAATATTAATTTTAGAATCCTATTGACTGCCAAAGAAATTAAACAATAGGTATTACACCTATTGCGTCATGTGACAGTTTTTTAGAGTGCTACTATGCATCGTACCTCTTATCTTTTATTTTCTTCTGTGTTGGCAAAGTTACACAGACGCGTATAGTGAATATACTTGCACACTAATGTCATAATATTAATAAAAAAAAATTTTTCAAGGACCCTGCGAAGAAGATTTTAGAAAAGTAAATGAACAAATTAAAATAGCATTGATAAAAGCTTTTGTTGACTTAAAGTCAGGCATCTAAAGGCAATTTCCATAAAAGGCTTTAAAGATCCATCATCAAAGCTTAGATGTTCACTTATAATTGCCATCTCTGTCATTTCTATATCATCAAGAGTTTTAAAGAAATCATGACTTAAAAAATGGATTTTAGTAATTTTATTTAGTTAAAAAATATTACCTAATTAAGTTATTGTTAGATCTAAAAATACCTTTTTATTTTTCATGAAACGAAACCTCTATTGGAAGAAGAAGAAAAAGTCAAGTAACAGTTAAATTAAGTAATAACAACATTTGACCGCTGATGCCCCGCACACCATAATGCTTTCGTCCCAAAACCACCAACGACGAGCTGTAAACGTGGCAGACAATAATCGCAGAAATAAAATTAAAAACACTCGCAGAAAAATCATAGAAACACAAAAAAAAAATGTCTTGATTTTGATAAGGCCTTGTAGTGATCTGCAGTCTCCATGTTTTGGTAAGAGCATCAATGAACTTCTTGTCATTACAAGTTGTTGGACACATTTGGTGGAAATTCAAATTAAGATGTATCTTTCAAAGACTAGTTGTCCACCAAACTTTCGTATGTAGTTGACAAGTCTTTTGTTAACATCGCCTATTACCTGTTTCAGCATTAGCATAGGAAGCCGTTTTAGAATTACCTTAACAGTATAGGCACCTTGCTCAGTTGCGTACTACTTCTTTGAAACTAAAAATACTTTGAAGTTTTTTGCATGATGACGAAAGCATCGATTTCCTCACTCCCAGCGAAACCGAAAGAATAAAGCTGTTGTAAAAACCTAATTCACAGTCGCACATTGTATTTGTAATTAACTGCCATTTTATTTTTTGAGTCACAAAAGAGATTTCAGGTCAAGTATTTTTCTCCAAACTTTAACAAAACTATTAAACTGATAATTATTAAGCTGCTTTACAAGCTGTTCCAACCGAAACATTTGTAAAATGTTAATAAATTTTGTACCCAAACTGTTGCTCCATATTTTTATTTTCAAATTCATTGTTTTACAGTTTTTTTAAGTTAGCAGTGCCATCTGTTAACGAACTTTATAGCTACTTTTGAATTGTGAGGAAAATAAAAGTTAGTTTCCTAAACAGTTTGCAACAAACTATGCATTTTTATCTCCTTGTGTTTCTTCAGTTTATTTTTGAAAACTTCGGCCATTTTTAGGACAGTCGGTCAAGTATGTTTTGAACAACTGAATAACTTTTTGACCCAATAATTGAATTAAAAGTTAATCAGTATATATGTTACCGTTAAAGTAGCAGCAGTTATTTCATAGAATGTTATTCCATGAAATAATTGATCGTGTCCGTTAAAGTGTGTAATGTGTTATTAATTTGACACATTAACTAGTTATTCTATGAAATAACTAGGTATTCTATAAATTAACTAGTGAGAGACAGTTAAAGTGTAAAATAAACAATTTATCTAAGATGAAATAACTAGGTATTCTATAAATAAACTAATGATAGACAATTAAAATGAAAACGAAGCAATTTATCTAATTTATGCAGCGTATAAATGGTATTTATGGAAACGTATCATAAAATCATTTGTTACAATAAGGATTACTAAAATTACACTTGGAATTACAAAGAACATTTTTTGTTGACACAATGGGTTTTACACGAAAATTTTTTAAATCTCTGACCAGTACCTAAACTTTGAGCTGTAGCAACCGATCGGAGCGATATTTCTACATCCGGTACTTCTTCGATTTTAATTAATTTTGAACTGAATAACATTAATTTTGAATAACACTGAACTGGAATCGAGAATATAATTGTTTTATGCGCCGTTTCTTGTGCCCAATTGGAAAAATCCTTCTTCGGTTATTTTTATGATGATAGCTAAAGTAGATTTGGCAACACCTTTTCCTCTGTCAACTTCAGGCACTGGGATACGGACGGTAAGCCCCACAGAGGCTTCAGAATGAGATTGATCTGACATTAATTTCATCTTTTTCGCTTGAATTTACAAAAATTTTTTAGGCTTTTCTCTTTCTCTTTGAACGTTAAGTTCATTAAAACACAATTTGCAGATTTTCTGCTCAACTTCATCTTCTGAAACATAATCTTCCGAACATGATATATGGACAGGCTCCATACATTTGAAGCAAACTATATGTATTTGTCGGGCGAGATATATGATATGGATTATTTTACACTTTAACGGGCTGCAGATCGTTATTCTATGAAATAACTAGCTAAACCATGAAATACAAGAGAGTTTTACACTTTAACGGACACGATCAGTTATTTCATGGAATAACTAGGTATTCTATAAAATAACGGATTTCATACTTTAACGGTTATATATATATTAAATGGATGCTTATTAACTGTAAATTTTTTGTGAGCATCGGTATACTGCACAGTAAAAGTTTAAGTTATGTTCAGCATTTCAGAACTAAAATTGCTTACATGGTAGTAGCACATCTCAAATCATCTTTCAAAGATACCAAAAGCTGTGAACATTTTGGTGTTTCCAGGAGGTTTTTATCAGTAGCTTTGATGACAGTGTCAAAATCTTTTCCATCTGATACTACTTTACTGTACTTTTTCAAATAATGGACGTAATCTTTGGCCAGCAGAATCATCTGAAAAGTAAAAAAAAAAAAAAGTTAAGAAATAATTATTCAATTTAATGTTACCACCTTAAATAGTCACCACGTCTAATCAGGTAGCCTATACATGATTTAATGCTTAAATAAAGGGAAATTTAATATGCATTAATACAAGGCAAGAAACTTACTCCCCAAATCGCCATCGCCATAATATTTAGTGTAAGCCAGCGAGTTATGTCTTAAAAAGTTTGTGTTTTAAGTCAAACGGCCTTAGTGAGAGTTTGCGCTTACGCGCTATGGATTGGGATGTCACAATAGCTCGAAGATAGTATACGTTTGAATCTTTTATGAACGATAATACTTAAAGACGATCTACTCTGACGTCATCACGACGTTCCTGGCTATACGGGCCCCAGCGTCCTCTACCATCTCTTAAAGGAAACGGTTAATTGATACAGTAGATTTAAATCGTTGACACTCTACGATATATTGCGTAGCATCTCTGTCACACTTTTATTTACTTCTGTACGATTATATTTGTAACATGAGGGAATAATAGTTAGTTGAATTTTTATGATTCATTTTACAGGAAATTTTAAATTAAGATAGAATTACGTAAATTTATGTTAGTATTTTGAAATTTTTTCACATTGTGTATTTAAGTCGAAACTTAAAATTTTCTTATCAACTCTAAATCTTTTATTTTAGATTTTAGTTCTATTATACGTAAAAAGTGTTTCTTTTAGATTTTTATTTACTCCTGTCTGTTTTTATTTTGTCAAATAATAAATTCTATTATAAACTGAGTAAAGGAAAAAAAATCTAAATAAATAACACCTTTCTGTATTTATCCTCCCATTAGTTTAAATGGATTAATGGTGCATGCCATGTTAACGTACCATGATGTGTATTAAATTTAATATCGAAATAAATATAAGAACCTAAAAAATAATGAGAAATTAAATTATTTAAAATAAGTCCCATTTTACTTTTTAAAATGTATTTTTCTTCAAAAACAAGCGACAATGTTAAGGAATTAAGCATTTCATAGAACTAAAACAAAACAACGCTTACAAAGAACTTCGAAAATTCAATTAAATATAATAAAAGAAAACGATAAGTTCATTTATCTAACTGGTAGTTAAGATTTTTGCTATAGCTAAGAGCTAAAAGCGTTATGACAAAGTGTTGTTGCAATTTCGGCGCAGCAACTTTAATTTATGGCTTTATAAGGTTATTTTACATTAATGATATTATTATTAAGCTCTTAGTTCTTAAAGTTCTGTATGAGTTAACATTTTAAAAATTGTTCATACTTTTTACAAATGTAGTGGCGATCAAAAGAATTTCTAACTGATACCTGAAATTTCATGCCCTGTATCAATATATATTTAAAGAATCTCAAACAAAAATGTATTAAATGTATGTAACAGGGGTTGAAAATCAAAGAACTAACATTTAAGAGAAAAGTACAAAAAGTCTACGAAAATTCGTTGAATCACTAGTATAGAAAGCGAGCTGAAAAATATCAAAACTTGCTATATTGCTTGTTAAAACTTAGTGCTTTTAATAAGCCTATTTTAACTCCCTTTTGGGTCTTGAGGCAATCAAACAGGTTTTGATATTTTTAGTTTTAGTTTCCTCAGTTGTGATTCATTACATTTCTATGGTTTTTTTTATCTAAATCCATAGGGAAATCTTGATTTTTATTAGAATCATTCATTTTTAACTTCATTCTTAGTTTTATTTTTAACATAATCTTAAATATGAAAATAAAATTTACCAAGATGAATCAAGTGAGTAGCAAAAAATGATTAACCAAGCTTATTATGAAAATTTCGGGTTAGATTTAGGTTTTAGTGGGACATAAATGTTACATTTCAAACATATTTTTATAAATACTTTATTTTCGAAATTACCATTCTGAATTTGAATAGTAAAATTTGTTAATATTTATGCTTTGAAAAAAAATTACATTTTTATCTAAAAATTAAATGAATAAACTTTAGACCCATTCTGGAAGTCCTAAATATTTTACTAATAGGATGGAGAGAAAAAAATTGGTAAATATTTCACAGCAGCGCCATCATTTTGTCCAAATGAAGTTATGTAGTCCAAATGAAATGATGAGTTTTGATAAGAAGCTTAGCGTAAGACACCTTTTTGAATATGTACAAAAAGAAAAAATATCAAAACATCTCTCCAACTTGATGACAGTAATAAAGCATCAAAAACACATGTCTTGTAAGTTTTCATACGGAAATAGAAAATTTAAATTGACTTCTCTTATATATAATGTATACTTTTCCACAAACAAGCTACAATTTGCATGCAACATTTTTTCTAAAACTTACTCCAATATACCTTTTAAAAGTGCCTCTGTTCTCTAGAAACAATCGATTTTGATTATTATTCTTTTCGATAAAGCATTCATTCTATCGTTTGCTTCTTCGATTCCGTTCCTCCCCCGCTAAAATGGATATATAAGAGTCATCGAAAGTTCAATCACCTGAGGAATCGAACGAAACAGAGAGGGTGATTGACAACAAAAGAGCATTTTTTGTAACAACTTTCTGGGGAGTCCTGTTTGAATTGAACGAAAATCGAATTTCCCGGCACGTTTGGCATTCCACAACTCAACTTTCGAGTGAGACCACTCGAACATGAAGTTCGTGACAGACATTTGTACTATCGCCTGCCTTTTAGCAGGAATCGTTTTGTTAATGGATGATTTTGAGCAGGAAAAAATAAATAAAAAAATGAAAGATTGTTCTACCTTGTTGAACGATGTAATTTACTTATCAAAGCTCTGTTTTTTTTATGACATAAGCTAAACATTATAAATAAAAAAATACCATCAGGATAAGCTTTTTTTGTCGTCACAATTTTGAATCGCGAGCATTAAATTTGTTATACATTTTTGCCATGCTTTTTTTCCTACTTAGTTTGAGAATTTATGAATAATGAACTATAAAATGAAGCACGTATTAGAGGATATCATTAAGCTCAAGTTTTTATAAATATTTTAAAATATACAGCATTAACCTGATTTAGCTATAATGTTCCGTATGTTTACTTTTTTTTAACTGATGATTTTAACTTAAAATTTTTAACTAAATTACGCCGTTGTTAATAGGTTATTTAAGCTTCATAAAGATTAACATGTGTGGAGCGCTAAAACACAGTGCTCATTCTCATAATTATTATTATTATTATTTTTTTTTTGGGGGGGGGCAATAGTGCTTTTTCTTTTTGTTGACTTGTTCTGTTGTCATCATTCACTTGTTGATGGTATTGAGAATCAACTCCATTTTTGAACGCTCGAAACATGTTCTGTTTATTGTGAAGCTTAATGAAGATCTTATTTCTGCTTCAGTTTCTTGGGATCATTTATTTCATCCATTAAGTCTTTTTCTTTTGCATTTATGAGATCATTCAGAAAAATAAAGATAAAATTAATTTCTGATTAAATAAACCCTTTGATTCATTAAATATATTATTTATAAAGTCAATAAATTTTTATAAGCTGATGAGACATGGATCTCCGGACACCATTTAGTAATATTTATAACTTCTACTAAAGACACAGCCTTTCTGCTGCTTCTACCTTCAATCAAATAAATATGAATCTTTAACTAATTTTTGCTCTACTCATTCTGGTGAGCCAATTAAACAGATATATCGATGGTGACTATGATGGAATAGTTAAACAGGGTGCCCAAAAAGTACGAAAATGGTCGCAATCTAAATGGTTCGAGGGGGTGAATTCAAATATGCTAAATTAGCGCAAACGATATTTCAAGTTACAAAATCAGACATAAAAACATATTTTTTTCTGAATAAACGTAAATTTTTTGTTGTTGATAGATAATGATTCCTTACCACTAAAATGTAAGGGGATAGCCGCAATCCAGGAAATAGGATCCCAGTAGTTGGGTCAGAAAAGTGGTCGAAAGTTTGGGCAACTTAATGTTAATTTTACTTCGATTACGCAGGAACTGTTGGACCGAATACGCTTAAATTTTGTATTTTGCCACATAAAATTACATTATTTAAAATAATATAACAATTTGTGTACTTTACAAAATTCTAAATTTTTTTTGCCTATTATTATATTATCATTATTTCATCTATTTTAATAGATAAATGAAATTTATAATTGTGTGCAAATTTTTTTTGCTGTTTGAATCACTTAAAAATTTATTAAAACATAAATCTCTTAAAAATTAACATTAAGGAAATGTTATTTAAAATACGTTTTGTATCGAATTTTGCAACTTAGAATATCTTCCACCCTAACTAATTAGCATGCTTGAAGTGACCCCCTCGAATCATTATGATTGGGTCCTAGTACGTGACGATCCGATTATTAGATCAAAAGTTATTCAGCGTGTTTTTTTTTCTTTTTTTCGAACTGTGCAATCTACATGATTGATAGCGATGCTATTTCAAGCAAGATAGACCGCCTCATTATCATTGTCAAAGAAAGCGATCACTTTCATTCGCTTTATTATCAACTGCTTACTATCTAATTTTAGTAAAATATTTTTATCACTCGTATTTGTTTAAAAATAAAGACTCGTTTAAAACACTAACCGTTCAAACACACTGCATCATTGTCGTAAAACTTTGACTAACCTAATACGTACACTATTGGAAAGTTTTCAGAAAAAATGGTTAAATAACAATTTATTTAATTCTTATTTTACCACGTTCAAACAAAACTGTCAAATAACCATAAATAAGATGGTATTTAAATTTTTAACTGGGAGAAAAACCATTTATTAACTGCTTTCACCTAATACTGTTAAACAATTAGAATTTTATCGCACCAACTAGGCCCTCCTAATGAAGACACTAGTTATTTGCAGCTGCATAGATATTATAGCCGAGAGGGCTAATCTGTCAGTTTCATGGCCAAGAGAACAGGGGTTCGAGTCCCAGAGTTGACAACGCATTATTCTCTCTATTCTCTTCAACACATGAAAAATTTCTAGTGTCCTGCATTCTTCAATGCTTATGATCTAACAAAAAGCCTACCTCCAATGTCCAGTCAATTTCTTTTTTAATGGTTTTGAAATCATACTAGTTATAAAAAAAAAACAATTAGTTTTGTATATTTGGTTTTATAACCATACTAGTTGTAAACGGTTTCAAAACCATAAGGGTAAAAAATGTTCTTTAACGTAAACTTTACTGTTAATTGAATGGACAGGCTGCTGCCGCTTATTTAGCCATAATTTTAGAAAAAAAAATTTCTAACAGTGCATTCCACCTAAATTGGCCAGCTGGCTTAATTTTAACGTATAATACAGCGTTACGAATGGAGTATTTTTAAGCTCTAGAGCTGTAACAAAATATAACACAAAGGCACCTCGACAGCAATATGGTCAAAACTACCAGAATAAGGTATAATTTACCTTGTTTCTGGCTATAAGGGAACTCCAAAAGGTACGGTAATTTTATCGTACTTTGGTAACGATTTTGGCAAAATTAACCATAAAATATTATTTTATAATATGCGTTAAAATTTGGAAAATGTGATGACATTTGGTAATTTTGTCATGATACCTTAGCGTAGGTCATAAAAGCCATTATTCGGTTAAATTTACTTTTCAGTTTTGTATTTTCATTAAATGCGTGGTAATAAGAATCATAGTTTTAAAAACCTGAATTACCGGTAAACCGTTACTATTTAAATGGTCTAAATTATTTTGGTTTAATCAGTTATTATAATAATGGTGTTTTTTATTCCAGAAATGTCTTTACGATACCAGAATTTATTTTCTGTGCAGTGATTCTCGTTACTCGTCAAACTTGAGAGAAAGCGCTTCTTTGGAAAAGGTTCATCTTCAAAAAAAGAAGGTGCGATGCTGCTAAATCATTGAGGTGCTCTCGTGAGTGTCTCCAAAAAATATTTAAGTCTGACGTCACGCACAATCAACTGTGTGCAGTGTAAACGAGGTATAACTTTTCCTTATCTAACTCCGACTAATAAACTTAACTTTTCTCAAAAGAATAATAATTAATGATAAACGCCGTTTAAATATTGGCAAACAAATCATTATTTATGTAATTCAGATTTAGTCACGGTACCCAGTTTCGAATTCTTAATTTTAAATCATCAAATTTTTTGTACTTCGGTGCACTGATTCTATAATTTATTACTTCAAGCTTAAAACGTAATCTCAGCTAAGAACGCATAATCTGATATAATCGCAACAAACAATATTCGTAGGCGTTGTGGTCTTGTTTCTTTGAGTTTCGCAGATGACTTTTTTAGAACTGCAGATTTGATTAAAGATACGATAAATGTATCGATGTCACCGTCTATCTGAATCTATTTTCATCGAAATACTCATATCAGCAGGTATATCTTTCTCGTCATTCATATGTATTGCACAGAGGTAAAGGTTAATTTTCAATTCATTCACTTTTAGGATCAGTGACTATTGTTAAAGCGATAACAACAAGAGTTCCGAGTTCCTTTTCCTGAGCGTAATCTATGTATAATAATCTGATTTAGAACGATCGACCAATAAAACTAGATTAATAGTTGAAACTTCAATAACGTATTAGCTTAATTTTACTTATAAACTTAACTGATGAAGAAGAGATATATAGTAATTTCTCAACAAAAAAAATGAGCTCATATATTTTAACATTAATTGTAAGTTTAGGAGTGTCTTTATACTTATATTTAGATATTAATTTAATAATAATTATAAATTGAACTATTCGAACTATCAAAATTCCGATATAGGAAGGAAAAATTATCTAAGTGAGTTAAGAATATTTTTTAGACTAAATATTTATGAATTAAGGACACAGTAGTTGCATTTTACATGAAACATTTGGTTGTTCGATTATTTGAACGAAACAGCTATACTCTGTAAGATCATTTGCATGAAACAGCTACATCCTGCAAAATATGAAACATCCACACCCTGTAGGAAAATTTTTATGAAACAGCTATACCCTATAAGATAAAGTGGCTACACGCTATCGGATCATTTGTACAGTGAGAATAAAAATACGATCAAAACTACCAGAATATGGTAATTTTTACTGAAGCGCTTTGGTAATGATTCTTGTAAAATTAACAGTAAAATATTATTTTACCATGTGTGTTAAAATTTGGTAATTGCGATAGAATTTGGTTATTTTATCATGATACTTTAGAGTCGATGGAGCAGCGGTTCCCAAAAAGTATTCCACGGTACCCTAGAGTTCCATGGAAGGATTCCGCGAGTTAGAACTTTTTTTAACCAGTATTTTTGAAGCATATAATAACCTTGTATCCAACCAATAATCAATTTTTTTAAATTTAATATTTAGTTCATTGCTAAAATTATACGCAAACACAAATGATTGCATCAGTATTTCTCATTGAGGTTTAAAATTAAAAATAAAATGGCTAATTTGAAAAATAAAGAATTATTTTTCTCCAATAAGTTCCTCCTAGTTTAGTTTATAAGAGTTCCTTTTCAGAAACTAAAATGTAGCTTATGTTATTGTTTGATTTATGCTTACATCAAAAACTACTGGACTAAAAGCTACTGCATCCTTTTGAATTTAACTGCCTAACACAAAATCGAATATTAAGACAGTTATTGATGAAACAATGTAAAATGAAAAAATTTCAATTTTTCGCAGTTGTTACCTAATATATTCAATTATAACCTAAATTAATTTGTAGTGTTTTATTATTATTATTTGCTTAGCATATACAGGGGTTGGACAAAATAATTGAAATTTCCTTTATATAGTATTTAATTCATTGAAATTTTTTCTATTGAAACGTTCATACAGAAAAAATGATTTTACTTTTTCCATGTTAACCAACGGAGAATTATTCACCGGAAATTTTCCTTTTCATTCATTAAATAATTAATGTTTTTTAATAATTTTTTATTCTTCGAAATATGTTCTATTAAATTCAGTTACTGTATTTTAAACTTTATAGTTGTAAATATAATTTAAACTTTTTCAAAGTTTAAAATCCTTTAAAGTTCAAATTTTAAAAATTCTTAACATTTCAATGAATAAAATTTTTAAAAACAATATTCAAAAATATTAATTAGTTAGTGAATTAATAAGGAAATTTCGGACATATAATCCTCAATTGGTTAACTTTGAAATAAGATCTTTTATTTTGCTTGAAGGGGACCATTAAATTTGGATTGAATCATTTGTAATGAAGACAACAATATCTCTCGGCTGTTTCTCATATTGTTCGAATTGTTCAAGAGAAGATTTGGATCAAGATAAGTTAAAGTTTTAAAAAAATAGAACATTCATTCATAATTTGAAGTATTTTGGTTAAAAAATAGATTATTTAATCTGTTTTTTCATCTTAATACGATTGTTTAGAGTTTTTGACTTTCTCAAGATTGCATCAAAATTGATGGTGGATCTTTTCAATTCACCTTCAAAATAAGTTTATCGAAAGGGAAGAAAACGTCATTGTCGAAAATAAACATTTCAAAATAGGGTTTTGTGTAGGAGAATAAACTTTCTTATTTATATTTAATTTCCTTTCGATCCTTTATACTTCCAAAATGATCACAACCGAACAATTGGTTGGCGAAGTTCTTTTCTTATGAATAATTGAAATGAACAGAAGACGCCAACGCTCTTTCATCACATCTTGATGTTTTTGATCGAGCCAAATAAATTCTTAAATGAAAATTTGAATTTAATTTATTTATCTGTCAAGTTGATTTACACTGCTTTAAAATAGTAAGTCGAAACATTTATAATTTTATGAATTGAAAAGAAGGCTTTCCTTGTGTAGGAATGCCTTACTGAAGATTTAAATTGAATTATTTATCACGGATTATAAATTAAATTGAAATCTATGAATTGAAAAATCTAATTTATACTCTATTTTAATCAATAATCATAAATTGATATAAATCTACAATATAATAATAAACTATTTATAATTTTGTGGAAATTTTTTATTTGATAGATTTACGAATCATGAATCGGCAATTAAATTTAAGTCAACACGTCACGTGTATGCTTTTAATTTTAATCTATATTAAGTTTATAAGCAAATACTTAAATCTGAAACGTAACTATAAATTATTTATAATGTGTTAAACTATCCTGAACATATTTCATAGATTTAAATTTATCTATTGATTATTCATGATTATAAGTATATTGAGATTATTCAATGAATTTAAATCAACAAATTTATAGCTATAATTTTCATTTCTTTTATTTTAATCTATAAAAAATCATTAATTAGTGCTTAAGTTCAAAATTTTAAAAAAAAATTTATAATAATAATTTATTATAATTATTCATATCAATAATTCATTATTATAACTTATACTAATAATTTATTATTATTATTTTATTGTTATTACTAAATTTTTATTATTTTATTATCATTATTGTGATATAATAATAATATTATAATGTCTTGAAGGTAAAAATCATAATAAATTTCATAGACTTAAGTTTAACTCTGACTTATACATTTTTGAATAAAATTTAATTTCCAAATTAATACTTAAAAAAATTATCATAATTAAATAAATAAAAGTTAAAATATATAGTTTGTTTAAAACTTAAACGTTTTCATAAACTATGTTAATAAAATTAAAACAAACTCAAAATATACATTAAACTAATTATTAATTTCTTTTTAAATTTCATTTTTTATGCTTTTAAATGCTAATACAAAAAAAAATTAAGATAGAATCTATTGATATTGTTTATGAATAAACTCAATTACATTAATATCAATTACTGATGTGGATTGTTCAGAAATATTCTTACCTTTTTGATTGGGCCTTTATCCTGATTTTTTACTTTATAATGGTCTATTTCGGGCAACATCTTCTAATATCTGAAATTAAATAAAAAGAATTTATGGTGAAAATTTTGTTAAAAAAAAGGCTCTAACCTTTATTAAATTGAAAGTTCTGTTATTGTGAGGTTGGATAAATAACTTTAAACCGGAAAAAAACGAAGAAAAATGTTTCGTTTTTTTCATGTTCTAAAAACTTGTAGTGATAAACTTGCTATTTAAATATATAGCTAAATTCCATATCTGTCTGTTTCTATTTGGCTTTAAATATTTCGTTCACTATGTGCAAAATGATATAAAAAGTAAATTAATATTGAATGAACTAAAATGGTTTTCTGAACTCTAAAAATTTTTAAAACTGTGCACATTCAAGTGCGTTTACGTAATTAAATAAAAAGAGTTAGAAACTGAGCGTACTGGAACTTAAAGAAAAGACTAATGCTGTGCGTTTTTTATTAGATGGAATATGGTTTAACAAAATTTGAAAGAAATTTTAATTCTCGTTCAATTTTCTGTAACTATTAGAAAGGTAAACAAATGCTAAATAAGTGCTAAATCTCTGCCTTTTAAGAAAAAGTAAGTTGAAATCTATTATCATTTATATCGTAATGAACACTGATTTAACACAACGCTGGAGAAAGTTTTCCTTTTTTAATGGACATACATCTTTCCGGTTTTCTAATGCCTCACACTTTTTATCACCAAAATAGTTGTAGTGCCAAAAAAAAACAAAATAATTGTTTACATTCACGAACATTTAAATTTCCCTCCTCACTAGCCAGAGACAACAAAACAATACTTCGAAGATTGATTAAGGGTTGTAAACCAGCAGAGCATTACAGAAGAAGAATTTCTTATATAATACAAATAAATGGAAATTAGAACAACACAATTCAAAAAATAAAAGTTTAGAAAATAAAAATCGGAATTCCAGACACTATAATTATTTTCAAGAGTAGACAGCAAATTCGTAAGGCGTTTCTGAAAGAGCGAATGTATATTACGACAGTTGTCAAGTAATCGGACAAGCGGAGCAAAAGTTCGCTGAATTATAAGGTGAATATTTTCGAAGTCGAGGAGAGTTTCATACATATGGATTACCCGTAAAAGAATTAGTTATAAACAAACCATATAATAAATATACACTGGAAAAAATAAAATGCCAGAACGTTTGAAAGAGGAGCTTTTTCAAATCTATAAACATGCAGGTGAAAAGTCAAATTATTTTCTATACCTTTTTTTTTTTAAAACAGAAATGAGAGTTGTTAAGAATTGAATCAAATAAAAAAGGTGCATCATTTACAAACCCACACTGGGTAATAGACAGAATGATTACGGGTGTTCCGCGGCGTTTTAGTTGTTAACGTAATCACGCTGGTATTCAGAAAATAATTGAATTGCTAATATTAAATGTCGTTTTATGAATGCAGATGTTTTGCTATCTAGAATTCAATAGTAAACATACTTTAACTTGAGAACGAGATACTTAAAGTTAGATATATCTTTAATAAAGGACATGAATTAAAACTTTTTTCAAAATATGAAATTTTGAAATATTTTCAGTATTTTTAAATTATTTACACCATTTCTGAGTGAGAGCTTTATTTATAGGGACGCATAATTTTTCTAACTTTTGCATTAGAAATACATTTCGCATTTATAATTACATAAACTACACTGTAAAAAAATTCAGGATCAAATTAAGGTATAAAGCACCGGCAATTTGGGTACATCATCCTTAAAATCAATTTTACCGTAAACCCCTCAAAATATTATAATGTGATTTTTACTGGAATATTTATTTAATTAAAGTAATTCAGTGATTTTAGTGGGACTATTATTGCAAAAATTATGGTATATCAGATTTTTTTTGTTCGGTAACACGTTCCGGTAAAAATTTACCCGGCACTCTGTGTGCCCGTAGTTTTTACAGTGAATACCTTTTTTGAACGAATGTACAAACAGAAAAAAGTGAAGAAAGTGAGCAGAAAAAAGTGAAAAAGTGAACAGAAAAAAGTCGTAAAGAATTGAATAAATTAAAATCGGCGCATCATTTGCAAGCGCCAACACTGGACAATAGACAGATTGATTGCGGGTGATACGTTATACATGTGAACGTAATCAAACGCTGGAATTCAAGAAAATTAATTAAATTTCTGATTTCAAATATTTTTCTAATGCTGAATTCTTGGAATCTAGAATTTAATAATGAAACTATTTTAATTTCACAACGAAATATTTAAAAAATTGACATATCTTTCTTTTATTAAAAAATTTCTGATATAAATTCAAACTTAAAATTCTGAAAATATAGTTAAAGTACTTTTTAATTAATTAAGCTAATTTCAAGTGAAAACTTAATTTATGCAGACACTTAATTTTTTAAGGCTTGCATTAAAACTATTTATTGCATTTTTAACTACATAAATTACTAACCTTTTTATACGCATAAAAAGGTGAAAAGTTTTATTGATAAACCCAGAAAGTGTAATAGACAGAAGGGGAAAAAATTCTGATAAAATCACCGCACTGTATAGTGAAGACATTTCTGATTTAAAGTTAATAAATGGTTTTTATGTCACACTCAAAGGTAACATTAAAAAAAGTTTCTAAATTTTGCCACAGTTACTAAATTTTATCACATATTATAAAACTTAATTTTACTGTCAATTTTTCAAAAATAAATATCAAAACCCTTCGGTAAAAATTACCGAGCTTTTTGGGGTCCCCATACAGCTAGAAACACAATAAAATGTACCATATTGTAATAGTTCTGCCCATACTTTTTTTTTCTCAGAGCAAAATAAAGTGCTATTGCTTACAAACAAACAAACAAATAATTAAATTGCTAATATCAAATGTTGTTCTATAATTACAGATGTTTTGTTATCTAGAATTCAATGGTAAATAGATTTTAATTTGATGACGAAATTATTAAAATTAGATAGATCATTTAAAAAATTTTAAAAAATCTGGCGTAAATTAAAACTTTAATTTAAAGTTTCAAAATAGTTGTAGT